TTTTTTTTTTTTTTTTTTTTTTTTTTTTTTTGGTTTTTTGAGACAGGGTTTCACTATGTAGTTGAGACTGCTCTGGAACTCACTGTGTAGCCCAGGCTCCTCTCGAACTCACAAAGATTCTCCTGCCTCAGCCTCCCAAGTGCTGAGATTACAGGCGTGCACGCACCACCACGCCCGGCTTTCAACTTCATTTTCTTATCCTTTCAGTTTCTCTGTAGGTTTGAAATTTTTTCAAAGCACAAAGCTGAGAGAAAAAAGAAACTTTCCAAATGCATTTCATCACTGAGGAATGAGGACAGTAAGATATACCTCACAAGGTTATAAAGAAGACTAAATGAAATAAAGGACCCCATGTTTCCAGCCCAGCACCTGGAACATAGTAAACACTCAAAAACTATTAATCACACTCTCAGCTATGCTCAGAGGGAACCATAAACACTACTCAGCAAGTATTTCTAGCACATGGAGGTGCCCACTGGCCCCCTCTGAGGTAAAGTCATGCCCATGCTGCTTGCCGCAGTCAAAGCAATGTTTACAGAAGTGATTCGTGTCATCTCCCGTGTCAATCCCCTGTCCGCCACCTGCCCTTCCCAGTGTGACCACGGACTACAATGGACTCATCAGCCGGTGAACTGAAGCGACCTGCCCAGCCCCCTGACCCAAGCTGAACACACAGTGTAACACATTTCCCACCCCGTATGAAGCCACCCACCTGCTCTGGTTGTCTGTGACAGCGCAGCACACCCAACGAATGACTGATAGAATTACCATGTAGGATGAAGTGAGGAAAATGGACCGTTAAACCTTGTAATACTCCAGAACAGTGGTCTGTAACCCCCCAGGAAAGTTACTTTATCTTCCTGTACCTTAGTTTCCTTATGGTTAAAACCAAGAAAATTAATAGCACCTAACTCAAAACTAATGTAAGAATTAAATGAATTATTCCATTTTGGAAAACATTTAGAACAAGGATCAGAAAAACATCAGACTTTGAAGCTATGTGCTAGAAGAACCAGAGCTCTGACGATGGATATAAAATCACTCCAGTAAGAGCCTGTGCACAGTCTGCCTTTAATGTGTCAGCGAGCGTTACCCAACTATGTAGCTATAAACATGTGCCAAAGTAGAAAAAGGAAGCCGGCCGTGAGGCAGGAGGACTACAAGATTGGCCTGGGCTACACAGTGAGACCGTCTCCCAAAAAAAAAGGATTTGGGAAAACGAAGAGGACAACGAGGATGAGGAGAAGAAAAAGAAGATGACAACAATAACATAGCACAACTAAAATTACTACTTTCTAAAATATTAAAACTGCAGTAGAATAAGGCAGGAAGATTTTGAGTTCAAAGCCTGTGGACTACACAGCAAGACCCTCTCTCAAAAAGCCAATACTCACACAAATAAAAATAAACTGGTTAGATTTAGGCATTTCCTTTTCCTTTACACTATTCTAATATTTTTGTACAAAGAGCGTATGTTAAATCTTTTGATCATAAAAAACGATGTTTTATGCTAAGTAAAACAATTATGCTGAGTACATAATATTATTTATGATCTTTCATAAGGCATTTTTCTTGACATTCTACAAATGACACCATCTAATTTTGTTTCACTATTTTCTTATTTCAAAAATAGAATGTAGTCTTAAAACTATTTCTAATATTTGTTATGTCAGGAAGATTTTTTTGGCAAAATCTGATACCTTATAATTGAATTAAGAGTATTTCTGATTTCATTTTTCCCCCCTCCCACTATGAGAAAAATCAAACTGTAAGTGCCATTCTGAAGATACCAAGCTTTTTCAAAACTCCTGAGATATATGTACTTGGAAAGGTTAAAACCAATCTCACAAGACAGTTCTTAAATCCCTCGTCCCAGTATGAAGGGGAACTCCCTTATTTGCTAATTCAAGTATCTGAAATGCATCAATGATCACTCTGGGGTTGGTTTTATCAATGGCAGGGACCGAGGACAGTGTCTTCCCCAGGCACTTTCTTTAGGTCTCCAGCAGCTTTTACATTTTACCTCACAGAAGGAGCAGCCTACATCCAGGAAATATGTCCCACTGCTATGTTAACCAGTCCCACAGACAGCAGGATTCTACTGCTCACTTTGCAGCTGTGTGGCTAAGGACAGTCGAATTCATGTGAGCACCAGGTGCAAATCTCACCTGCCACAAAGGAAGAGCAATCCTTCCCTAACCATGGCCTGGGCTGTCCCTGTCCAGAGGTCACTTACTGTCATCCAGTGGCATCTTCCTCTGTGGGTCGACAGTGTCGGGCTTCAGGCTGCGATAGTCCCTGCAGAGTGCAGAGATGAGACTGGCATGGTTGAGTGAGCGCACGGGCCACTGCTGCTCATTCTCAGGAAGGTTTGGCCATGGAAGCAGCAAGATGTTCGAGAGCGCTCGGCATACCAGCACCTGTGCCTGCAAGAGACACAAAGGCCCCCATCAGAAGTCAAAGAGAACCAACAGCAGCAGGTGGCGGTGCTGGACACAGCCTTGGACTCCTGGCCTCTTTGAGCTCAGGTCTCCAAGTTCCTTCCTAATAACCTGGCTCAGGCCTGCAGTCAAAGGCAACCTACACAGGAAAAAGAAGTGCAGCAGTGACCCCAAGTCTGAGTCTGGCACACCCGAGGGCCGTCCTCAGAATCCCTGCTGGTGCCCACACTTCCCTTCCGGTATCTGAACCATTACAGAGGGAGAGAGCCCACTGCACACACTGAATCTAGCATGGCCCTCAGCTGCTGCCTCTGACATCCACCGAGAAGCCACCCGGAACAGGGTCCCTCGGAGACTCTCATCACACATTTAGTCCAGGTGCTCTGGGAAGGACCTGCTTCCAGCCCTTCTACCCATTCCTGTTCTGCTCTCCAGTACCTGGCCTGGGCCTCCAGGGAGGCTTCTTGGAGAAGAGACTTGCCTGAAGCCTCCTGACCCTAGAGAACACTACAAACCAGCCTAGCTTGAACTAGAAAGAACACAAGGAACTATCTCGGCACTGGCCACACTACCAGAGTGTCAGGAGGAGTTTTCAGCACTGTTTGCCTTAGAAAGGGCAGCACAAGAAAAGTACCACTGAGGCTGTGTAGTGCCACACACATAAGCAAGTCCGGCCAGCACGGTGTGGCCTGGACTACAAGTTTAAAAACAAAGCCAGTCTCTCTGCTTCCTCAGCGTCCCCAGATCAGAGCCATGTGGCTCTGAGGATCCCAGGGCCACCCTGGGGCTCACCTTATCGACAAGTCGCTGAGCAGAAGCGTCAGTGATCCTATTGAACACCTTCTGCACCGCAGGGATGCTAATTAGAAAGACGGGCCGCACCGTGGTGGCCAGGGAGACCAGTAAGTGGCACGCAGACAGCAGTAACTTGTCTTGGACCTGGAAACAAAAGAGAACAAGTTGGCTCACTATGTCCACTGCATGAATGAATGCCACTGAAAAGGAAAGCTTTGCAAAATAGCCAGCAGCTAAACTTGTCTGTGACGCCACGTTATACCCTCTAGGCTCTCTCTCCACAACTACTCATGATGATTCTCAAAAGTTCCCACCTTTTTTTCTACATCCATAGCTCCTGTCAGTTATCACTTCTCTCACCCAGCTGCACATCACCCCTACCCTCGGGACTGAGCACTGAACCCAGGGCCTTCCCACTGAGACACATCCCCAGCTCTTTTAGAGACAGGGCATTACTAAGTTGCACAAGATAGGCTCAAACCTGGATTCCTCCTGCCTCAGCCTCCCAGAATGCTGGGATTATAGGCATGCAATGCAATGCCACACCTGGCTCAATATCACTTCTGGTCCCTTCTTCACAGTCACTAGCATCTTTCAAGAGTCTACAGCAGCTCCCTCTGAGATGTCCTATCACGTGGCACACTCCCTGGCATGTCACCCATCTTTCCCTCCAAACAGTGTAGAATTCTTCATCTCACTCTTTTGGTTCCAACCAAGCCAAGATCTCTCAGTGTTTCCTTTCTACACTTCATCAATCACATCCATCTCTCCTACTTCTTTCACCTCAAATGCCTATCAAAAACTTGACTCACTGCCACCTGCCTCACAAGCGCAAGGTCGCATTTGATCCCCAGCACTCCACCCCAAAAAACAACTTGATTCAAATATTACTGCCACTTTTAAATCAGCAAAAAAGAAAACTTTTTTTAGGGAGGGGGTGGCAGGGAGTCCGGGACAGAACCCAATGCCTTGTATGCGCAGCACGTGCCCTGGTTAGGCGGGCTGTGCACACCTGTATCCAGCACACGAGGAGGCTGAGTGAGGAGCAGAAACTGGAGCCCACCTGGGCAACTTAGTGAGACTCTGTCAGAAAAGAAAAAAAGAAAAGGGCTGGGGGTGTACCTCAGTGCAAAAGTCCTAGATTTAATTTCCAGGATTACTTAAAAAAAATAAAAAGGCACATGTTATACTGACTACCCCCAGCCCTATAAATAGGACCAAATGTTGCTAAGAATGTGGTGAAAATGGCACACCAGAGAGTCAGGATATCCAGAATTACTTAGAAAGAATTACTTAGAAAGGAAAGGTCACCATAATTTCCTAGAACCACAAAATATTCGTAAACTTTCACTCTATAATCTCTACTTCTACTAAAGAAATTACCTAAAAAGAAGTTACATTCGTGAATACGTGCAATTCAGAATTGCTTATAATTAGTTTTTTAAATAGAGATAGTCTAAAAGTCCAGCAAAAGTTAAGTACAGACCACACTCCTTAGGGTACATAAGTAACTCGTTTACCAATTATAATGATAAACATAACTTAAATTTATGGAAAATAATACACTGTCAAAAGTGGTACAAATGCTATCTACACATGATCAAAACTGTAAAAGAAAAACCAGCATTTAGATGGTCTATTAATATAAATGGGTGGTCTTCCTGGAGGACAACCTAGTAGAATCTGTCCATTTTACACAGACACAGCTCTGGCTCAGTGACATCCCACAAACGTGTGCAGCAAGAGACACAGCGACCCCACTTCCACCCTTGGGGAACCCTGATCCATCGCTACAGAAGAACAGCACCAGGCAACAGGAAACACCAAAGCTGCTCCACAAACATAGCACTGAGGCATGCTGTTAGTTAGGCAAAGCAGCTATTATCTCCAGCTATCTACAAATTTTCATTTATCTATGAAAAAAGTCCAAAAGTATATACCACCAAGCACTGACAGCACTTACCCAGGGAAGGAAAATGTTTCAAAGACTAAAAACAACTTTTTGGTCTGTAAACTTCAGCAGTATTTTGCTTCCTCACATGAGCATGTATTTATGTGGGACCCAGAGAACTAGAAAAGCCCTATGTGAATGTGGCCTATGCTGCTGGATCACAGCGGTGACGTGAGGGCCTGGCCATGTGGAATGTGGATGTCAGGCAAACATGGGTGTGAAAAGACAGAGCGCGAGACCTTGGTGCTGATGAGCGGCGTGACTGCGTCCATGGCGGTGGAGATGAGCGTCACAAACTGCTGTGTGTTCTGACGGTGCGCTTCGCCGCAATACTGCGCCAGCCAGTGGGCGTAGGCCTGGAGCGCGGCCAGGGACTGTGCGTGCCTGCGGAGAGGAGGCCACAGGAGCCAAAGTCAGGCAGATGCTTGTTAGCATGAACTTTTGTCAGCACGGGACAAGATTCTATCCACTGTGCTACAGGTTCCAGGACATGATGACAGCCTAAAAACCACTTGCCTGCTCATGCAAGACCTGAAAACCGAAGTACTCAGCAGTGGCATGTGGCCAGTCAAGAACACAGGTGGTAGTTAGTAAAGCTGTCTATCGGGTCTTAATTTTCCTGTGAGACACAAGTTCATCTGAGAGGATGGTAAATTATAAAAACGGCAGGCACCAACAAATCTGAATGATAATGTGTCAGTTTTAGGCACTAGTAAAAACTTAACATCCACTGCTGCAGGCCAAGATGAAGATGAGTTACCAGACACTACAGCTTTGTGAACGAAGGCTTCACACAAGGGTCTGCAAGTTTAAGCTTCCATCTCACTGTGCATCAGGCTAGAGACAACGGAAGGGGCAAAGACTATGCCTGCTTTCTGCAAAGGTTGCACTGCATCACACAAACAATAAGATATATTTCAAAAAAGTTCACCATTCATCAAAGATGAAAAATAAGAATTCTTAAGGTTAGGAAGTTGTCTAAAAGCTTCGAAACACCAGAGTCTGTAATATCCCTCAAAGTAATTTCTCTTCTCTCTGTAGCAATTACTAACTAATCTGTGGGGTGACACTTGGGATGACAGAAATACACTGTTCCCTTGGTGCTGACACCCAGAGGATCCCTGCCTAACTCATTACTATACTAGTGGTTGCAAAATGGTCATTTTTCTAATTCTGTCTTTCCTTTTCAATTTGTTTGCTAGCATTCTTTTCTGTAAGAAGACTGTTCTCATCCCTCCTCTTGCTTCTTTTTAAAAATCAATATGGATGTCAGGATTCTTATTAGTCAACATGGTGTAGCCCATTATTCTCCTTAGTTTTTGATTATCCAGACCCTGTGCGTCCTTCAAGTACTTGCTCTTTTTTAAAAAAAATAAATCAAGTAACTACAATTTAATTTATTTACAGGTTTAAAAACTTTAATTCCGCTCTATTAAGCACCTTTGTGATAACATGCATGAAAAGTGCTATTCCTACAATGCACATTAATGCAGGGAGTGTCTCCAGTTCCTGTAACAGTCTGTACACCTACCCTGAATGCACTCACCTCGGAAGACCATCCAGAATGAGTGCAGAATGTGCCACAGAAAGGAATTCTTTAACACACTAGGGAGAAGTACACATGGTTCCAATATTCAGAAGAGGGAAGACTACACATCATCGTCTTCCATGCCCTTTTCTGAGCCCCTCTGCTCATACATTTCACAGGAAAGCCCCCAAATAACTTTTCATGAAGTTTGCTTTCCATGCTTCTAAGGTTTTAATCCAACTCCACATTTTAGGAAATTATCAACAAATCGAAGTATTTTAGTTTTAGCATTACTGAACATATTTAGTTTTCAACACATATACACAGCTAATCAAAATGTTCCTGGATTTGTAAAAGATGATCATGTGGTAACCTGCTCACTTCTAACTCAATTAGACTGGCCAGAAACTCCCTAACCTACCCTCTGAACTGTTCTCCAAGGAGTGCTGGCTTCACGTAACAGAGGAAGCACTGGAGCCTCGACCTGGGTAGGAGAGGTAGCACTGCTGCTGCAATGTCACATTGCCCCTGCTTCTAGTCAGTGCACAGAACCACGGTATACACAGGTAGCTCCACTTTAAAATCAAACTTAGCATCAACTATTATAGGGCTCCTGATAAGAAGTAAAAGGAAAGAGATACCACACTTATGTGGTGGTCCTGCCAAAAAACGCTTAGTCTCCAAATCAAGAGCAGAAACCAGCCAGCCCCAGACTACAGACAGAGTGTTCATTTTTTTAAAACTAAGATCTGAATCTCCAAAAGTCTCTCAAACACACACTTATACTCGGGAGGCACAATGGAGGAATGGCCTAGATTATACAAGATGCACCAATATGTGGCTCATGATTAACTAGGCCCTGGATCCAAAAGATACATATGTAACGGACATTCCTAAAACAACTGGGAAAGCCTGAATATGAATTGTATGCCAACAATGGTATTATAGTTATGTAGGAGAATGACTTTATTACTAGGAGATAAAGTCTAAAGAATTTATGGGTGAACTGGTACGTCTATCATTTATTTTCAAATGGCTCAGTAAAATAAATTATAGAAAGATGCACATACACAGAAAGCAAGCATCAAAAGCAGAAGGATATGAGAGCCTTTATTCTATAGTTTTCCTCAGTCTACAGACTTAACTTTTTAAAATAACAGTTACTAAGTGGCCTACGTTCATAGTGGACTGGCAATTCAGAATTCATCAATTAAAAACTGAGGAAGAAGGACATACAAGTCAGCCTGTAGGACCTAACAATTTTAGTTTATCTAACACAAAGAGCTCCTCATGGCTAAAATCAGAGGCTCTCAAAGTCCCTGAAACGTGTGAAAGTTGCGGCATTCGTGAGCAAACTGGCATCTGAGCAGACATCTCACAAATTTTCAAAGAGGAAAGCAGTATTTTTAAAAGTTTAAAAACACAGTAAATAAGATTCTTTCCATCCTTTATTTCATTGGCAATTCAAGAAAGCTCTACAGCTGGGCACGGTGGCACATGTCTGGAAGTCCAGCACTCGGGAAGGTTAGGCAGGAAGATTGCTAGTTCAAGCCCACTCTGGGAAATGTGAGATGATGTCTCACAAAAAGAAGCAGTAGGTGAAATTCTGGGAGTGTAGCTCTATGTGAAGGTCTTGGATTTGAGCCCCAGGTACCAAAAAAAAAAAAAAAAAAAAAAAAC